GTCGCATCTCCGTTGGGGAGCGAACCAGCCAACTCCGCTGCTGCGATCGGAAAGCGGCCAGAGACCATTTTATGTGAGCGAGCCGGGGGGGAAGGAGAGGAGAGAAACCGCCGCGGGGACACACGGATATAAAGATTTGTCTTCTGCCTTCCCCCCCCTCCCTCCCCCTTGTAAATACTAAATCTGTGAAGGCAGCGATTTGACATCCACCCTAAGCAGCGGCTATGGGGTGTTTGGGCAACAGCAAAACGGAGGATCAGCGTATCGATGAGAAAGCGCAGCGAGAAGCCAACAAAAAAATAGAGAAGCAGTTGCAGAAAGAGAGGCTGGCTTATAAAGCGACCCACCGCTTGTATAAAGCGACACACCGCTTGCTGCTGCTGGGTAAGGAGGAAGGGGCAGCGGTGGGGGACCGGGAGCGGAGGGGCATCTGCCCCAGCCCGGCGGGGCGCAGCGCACAGGGGAGATGCGGCGTGTGCCCTAGGTATGAAAAATGTTGGCTGTTGTATTGGGCAGTAAGCGAGACGTCCGCAGATCGAGCTCGGTGCCTGAGCCACATGGATGCACACATACAGAAATGCTGCCGAGCTGGTGGGAGATGCTGTCGCGTCCAAAAAAAAAATAAAAAAATCCCCACTCTGAACCCCCAGCCTGAACCGTGTATCACAATGTTCTTCCTTTCCTTCTTTCTCTTTTAGGGGCTGGTGAGTCAGGAAAAAGCACTATTGTGAAACAAATGCGAATCCTGCATGTCAATGGATTTAATTCAGAGTAAGAATTATTGACACTTTGTGACTTTTTTTCCTCAAATGCTGGAAACGTTAACACACGGTCGGCTAGGAAATTTCTCCTCTGATCCCCTGTGTTTTGGTGGCTTGACACTGCGTTTAGAAGGAGGGAGGGGAGTGAGAATAAGGAAATTGCTGCTATTGTATGTTTGCATTTTCTCCTCCTGGCCCCTTTACTGTATTTTACACTGTTGCTACTGCAGCGCTTGACAGGCCCCTGTGTAGCAACAACATGGCGACTACTTTTTACATAGAAGCAGATAACCAAATATTGCATCTGTCTGTAACACAAAAATACATGTCAAGTCATATTCAGCATGACAGTGTGTGTTGTTTTTCCGGTATTGGGGTTAGTGTAAAACTGAAACTAATTCTGCATATTTGTTAGAAATCCTCCTGTTTTCTGAGGCTACATCATTTTCTCTCTGAAGAAGTCTTTGCCAGAAACTGTTATTAATCCATAGCATTAATTTTAGATATCTGTTGGCATTCAACTACGTGTTGTTAATTTAGAGCATGTTTACAGCATGCTGTAGAAATGACAGAATGACTTCCAGCTCCATCAGGGGAGGCTTTGCAGATGTGGCTATGATTGTTTGATTTAAAGAAAAAATATCAGGGATGAATGTGCATTGCTCTTCATACTAGGCAAGAAAAGGGATAAGGGGAAAATATATTTGTCTTGCTTTCTTTCTGCTAGTATGTCTAAATGATTGAAGAGCAGATAAACAAGCGATCAGTGAAAAAAAAATTAAATGCAACTGACTGAACTGCTTTGGAAGAAAAAATCAAAGTGTTAATATTTCTGTTTTAATGCAGAGAAAAGAAACAGAAAATACTGGATATTCGGAAAAATGTTAAAGATGCAATTGTGGTAAGAACACACTTTATACTGTTCTTAAATGCTTGGTTGTACTGGAAATGATAAGGATTGGGCTCTCCAAGATTGTGCTGAGAGAAATCCCATTTTGCTGATCAGATTGGATTATCTTCTATTGATCCTGTATCCTAGACTTATCCAGATTAATGTGTTTGTCTTTTGTTTTATCCAATTCTAGACTATAGTTTCAGCTATGAGCACTTTAATACCCCCAGTTCCATTGGCCAACCCAGAAAACCAATTTCGAATGGACTACATCAAGAGTATAGCTCCTCTTTCTGACTTTGACTATACACAGGTAAGAACAGAAACCACTGATTTATTCTGCTTTCAAGGGGGAACATGTTGCTTCAGTTTGGTTTGCTGAAACATTGGGGGGTTTTGTTTATTGGAAGATGGTCATGGGAATGACTTATGCCAGTGTTACCTCTGGTTAACTTTCTTACAAGGCTGTGGTGGTTGCACCTGTTTAGTGGTGCAAGGTTTTGTTGTTATGGCTTTATTTGCTGCTGTTTGTAAATGCTGTTTCTGCATTTAGTTCTCTTCAGATTTTCTGATGCAATCATACGTATTGACAGATCAAATAAGACGTTGTTGAAAGCTGTTTTCCTACATGGAATTAGATGCAGGATGTTAGTCTGAGGAGCTACAGTCTACCTACAGAAAAGGATATAAAAGGAAATAACAGGCTAGAGTGGCCTCAGTGTGGTTTCCCATACTTAACTGCACTTCAGAGTGGAAACTCACGTAAGCAGTGGTCAAGTAAGGTGGTTTGCTTCCTTTTGTACTTGTTGTAGTTGGCATGAGCAGTGGTTTGCTTGTATGTAAATGTTGCCATCTTTCAATATGGAGTCATTAGAAAATTAAGGATTTCTATATGGAGGCTACTCTTTTGTAGACAAATGAGAGATACATTGCAGATTAGCTTGCATAGGCATCTTATGTTCAATTATTTTTATCTCTTTCTGTTATTATTTATAGGAACACTATGTTTTATGCATGACATGAAAGCAAGTGCACAGACATTCTGAATATTGTAAGGAATTTTACTTTTACAGTAGCACAATTTTTAATTTGCCTTAAAATGATACTGAAAGCGATTTGTTATGGATACAGTAAGGACTTAAAAACTCCTCATTCGTTGGCTAAATGGCTGTGAGTTGTACATGCTATCAATATTACCAAAGAAGCCATTTACAATAGAGAGTGTCTTTAGGTTATTATAGCTCCAGGGTGGAAGGGGGAGAAGGGGAAGAGTAGTTTCTTTATTATATGACTCATATTCTCTGATGTGTGGTTTTGCCTCTGGTAAACCTAGCACTTTGAAGGTTCAAGATAAAGAAAAAATATCAGACATCTTGTACAGTTAGAATTTAACATAGAATGCAGATGTTAAGAAAACGACTGCAAGGTACACCCACATATTGCATAATTGCTCAATTGGTAGATGTAAGTTAGTGAAAATGAGAAACTCTTTTTAGACATGGAATGTGAGCTTGACATGAAATATCTGTCTTAGGCAGGTATTGCAGTTCTGAGGAATTTGTGGCTCATTTTATGTGGATTTTTTTTTTGCTTGAATTTTGAACCTTAGATGTTTGAGTAAAATAAATGGTGGCATATACACTTTGCCATTCTCTATAGTACATCTGTTCTTTTGAGTTTCTGGGATAAAAGAAAGCTAAACTGGCCTTTCATAGGGCTGGAGATACTTTTTAATTTTTATTTTACTGTTTGCAAATTTTCTACTTTTTCATAGAAGCTGACTATAGCTAGTCAAATTTGACTCACTGTTTGATATTTTATAGAGGAGAAAATTTAGTCGTGGAGAGGAAAAGAGTAGGACACTGTAACCGTTGAAACAGTCATTCATTTGAAATCTCAATTCGAAGTCCATTTTGGTTAAACATAAAAATATTTCTGAGTGCCTTTTAATTAGGTTTTCTGACAGTACCATCACATTATTTGATATAGTGTCAATTGCTGGTCCTAATTAAAAAAATAAATAAATAAAGTTGCTGCAAGTTTAAAAAAGGAAGGGAAATGCAGTGCTGGTTTTAGAAGTAAGTATATTTCTGTGTCACTTCATATTTTCCCTTCTGTTTCCTTCTCAGCTCAATACATAGGTTTAATATTTGTAAAATGTAAAGTATGCCCAGATTTTCTGGTTTGCTTTGGGTTTTTAAATTTTTGTTGGTTTACTATGTTATTTATCTCCAGGAAGATTTGTGAGCAAGACAGATTAGAGAAAAAAAAAATGGAAAGAAGTGCGATTGTGCTTCAGGGCTTGATTCTACTCCAGTTTAAGTCAATCATAAAGTAAAAGGTTTCCAGCTGAAATAACTTTTGACCCATTTAGTATTTTTGGATAAGGACAAATATAAAAATAAATGCACAGTAATCAGTTATGCATCGTTTGCTAAGCATTACCAGTTCTGTAATTAATAGGAATGAGGCCTTCTGGGCCCAAGAAGCCAGTACAGTATTTAACAATAGACATTCAAGACTTTAGGTCTAATCATCCTTACTTGACAGCAGTTCTAAAGGAAAAAGTGCTGACCTAGGTAGCACTTAGGTGTTGCCTCTGGGGTAAATTTTTACACATTCTAAAGCGTGGCAAAGGTTACCCTTCCTTGGAATGAGGGAAGAGACAGTTTTAGGGGGTTTAACAATGTGGATGGTAATGAGCTGTTACAGACCCTTAGTGCTGCAATGTGAATTACAATGTGTTATTTTTTGGATGACATTGGCCATGTAATCTTTGTCATAAAAATCAATGTGTGCTGGTTGAAGATGCATTTCAAGTACATTGCATGCCAGATGTGGGCAAATGACTGCACCTTATCATGAGTCTTGAAAGAGATTTTCCCTGATGAAATGCAGAAAGTTCACTGATGGCACAGTATGACCATGGGACACTAATCTAAATAGATGTGTGACATACTGGATATGCTTGGACAGGCATTCTTGAACTGGATACAAATTAACTAATATACATTTAATTGCAAAAATTGTCCTTTAAAATAAGGGGAAATGAAAATACTAATTTCCTGTGTGTGAAATTGCACCCTTAATTGCAATTTATGACAAATACCAACAACTTGAGTAAAGATGGGGACTTCACATTTAGACTTAGATAGTGTTTGTCTGTTTTTTTAATTACATGACTCTCTACAAAATGTAAGCAGAACATCATAGTTAGTAGTGATACAGATTTTAAAACGAATGGTTTCCTCTTTACAGCCTTTTACCATTACTTTCAGAGTCTGTGGAGTGGCCCCCAAATAGTTTTACTTTTAAAAAACTATTCTTTAATTTGGTTTAGTTATCCTACCTTGATTTATTTAGTTGATATAAAACCAACTCAAAGCTTTATTGATTTTTCTCAGGTTTTTTGTGTTGTCTTTCATTACTCTTATAAAAGACTGTACATTTTTTACAAAATATTTCCAAAGTGACTGTTGCAGTCTAATTTTATAAATCCTACAAATTAGGAATCGAGTTTTCACAAAGTTAATGAATACAAATAAGCCAAGTGCCCACTGTATTTTCTTCCTTGAAGTTGTGAAAGGCATAAAGATAAATTTTCATCTGGTGACTAGTTTAGGCATTATCTTAGCTCCATACTCCAGGGTGGAAACAGCAGAAAGGTTTCAACACTGACACTGAAGTACACACGCTCTACCAAAAAGGATTTATTTTTTTTTTTGGGCAAAGTGTTGATGGATATTTGCTAAAGTTAACAGGAATTGACCTGGTCCAATTTTAATCCTTTATTGATGGGGATTTATTTTGTCCTTTGTGAATCAGAGTGAACATATTAAGGCCATATTATGCTGGTAGCTGTGGAAAAACATGGTGTGTTATGTAAGTGTGTGTTCACACAAGTTCAGTTGTCTTTATTAAGGTATTTGAGTTTTGTGGGCACTACAAAGCTACTTGGTACATAATTCCTTTGCCCTTTGGCTTTCCAAAAAATATATTCAAATTAAGTTGCTTTGCCTTGGCTCAAGCTCCTCTGATCAGTTATGTGTAGGTATATAGCAGGTAATCATTAGCTACCACCAGGCTACAGAGTCAAGTGTTTGGCTATACAACCAGTTACAAGTGAACATGAATCATTTGCTTAATAGAGGATATGTAAACACTTCACCCAGGTTTTGGGGGAGCCGGGAGAGTTTTCAAAAGATTCATTTCCTTTGCTAGGAATGTTTTAGACAGGCAAAGTGTTTTGTTGAACCTTCATAAATTAGTGAATTTTGTGGAATTATGTAGTCCCTTGTGGTGATTTTAGTATGTATGTTTTAAAAATAATTTTTACAGCTGTTTTATCAGTCAGGTAAGCTCTTTAATATAGTCCTTAAGAATGAGATGTGGGCATTGACAGGGAAAGTGCTTTAGATTAGTCAGTTCTGTGGTTTGCTTTAGATTTTCAGATATTGCAATTTGAGTTCAGTTTGATGATTTTCATTTTTCTCCACGTTTTCTTCTTAAAAATCAAGACTTTTATTCCTAACATAAAGACACGAGAAAGAATGAAAAGCAATTTTGGTCAGAATTTGAAGTTGCACAGACTTCTATTAGGCATTTCAAATTTTTGGTAGACTTGGTGTTTAAATTCAAACTCCTGGGGGTGGCTGGTTTTACCTGTGCATATCAATGCTTGAAGCAACTGAAAATCTTGCTCAAGTGAAGTGTATTACTGGACTGTAGAAAATCGTTCTCCTGGATGAATACTTAAATAAGACTAAAAGTATGGTAAATATGATTCATATATTGTTAAACTTGCTGGGGTTGTGCAGTTAATTCTGTGACTTTAGTGTCCTATTTGACCACAAATTGTTTAAGTTTCCCTTTAAAAAGTACTTAAGGTGTCCCAAAGGAGTTACAGAATAGCATCATCTTTTTTGGGGGGTTTTTGAATAACTCACTATATTTCTGTCTTTCTCAGGAGTGTGAAAATATGCAGTGTTTTACATGAAAAACAAACCACAAAATAAATGTCAGAGTACAGCGAATATTGTCACTCAAATGAATTTGCTTAATTTTTCTTTCTGCCTGAATTTTTACTTTAGGGCGTTGTTTACGATTTGGGGTAGAATGAACAAAAATTTTTATGTCTACCTGTGGTGGTGATACTTAGCATTAGTAGGGTGTGAGTCAATATGAACATTTTAATATTAATTAGCCTTTTAAGAATGAAGTCTGTCAGTTGTGGGGTTTTGTGGTCTGAGATGCACACTGGTAGTATTTGATATTTATCCAAACATGTTTTCCTATCTAAACAAACACGAAGTA